GCCCCAGGGCTGCAGGGGAAGCTCAGGAGGGTCTTGGTGAGGGGAGGAAGAGGGTCAAGGGCAGCTCCTCCCTGCAGCTGTTCCCTCCCCTCTGTAGCTCCCACTCCACTGCAGCAGCCAAGCAGCTCGGTGCCAAGCTCGGGCAATTTCCTCCTGCGCCCCCGCCTCCTCCTGTTCTTTGGGCCCTTGGCTCAGAGTGGACAAACACCCTCCCAGCGCCTGGCCCAGGCAAGCTTGGCAAGCATCAACAGCTGGCAAGCTCCTCTCCCCGCCAGCTGCGGCAGTATCGCCTGCTGTGGTTACTGCAGCATCCAGCTGTGGCAGGCCAGGGTCTCCTCGCTCACTCCTCCCCTCCTCTCCCCCTGCTGTGGCCAGTGGAGAAGGGAGGGGGGGCCTTCCCCAGGCCTGGAGCCAACCCCCCCACCCCAAGCCCCAATGCAGGCAATTCAGAGAATAGGGTTGGTGCAAAGAGACACAGCTCTAAGGGTAATGGCCCAGAGCACACGGTCAGGCACGGCCAGGCTTGGGGAAGGAACAGATGAGCTCAGCAGGATTATCCCGAGGAATTCTGAGGCTTGAGTGCAGATGTGTGAGAGATAGCGAGAGAGAGCCTCGTGCTACCAGCCAGGGCTCCCCTCTGCCTAGATGATGTTCTGCTCTGTGCCGCAGAGGCTCAAAAAAGAGCTAGCAGAAAAATCACATCTGGAGGGAGCAGACTGTTCTCCAAAGATGCCCTTGTTGGGGCCCAGCTGTTCCAAGTCTGTACTTGGCGGCCAGGAGGAGACCCCGGCTCCCAGTGTCCTGCCCCACAGGAACCTAGGTGTGACCTGGACACACTGTGACTGACTTGAACAAGAACGGGCAACTGAGGAAGGCATAGGGCATCCCTGGGTGACCCATTGCCGCCCCTCTCTCCCCGAGGTCCCATTTGCTGTCATAGGAGCTGTTGTGGGTGGTACTGGACCATATGTCCCCTGCCCCCTGTGTCCAGGGGGGCAGCCCTTAAGAGTCCGTCTTGAAGAGACACAGACAGGGTCTCCTTGGGTCTGACTTGCCCCAGTGTGTGTGAGAGGGGACTTCTTCCTGCCTTTGTTGTCACCCAGCCCCAACGCCCCTGCCCAGTCCGTAGCCTCCACATGCAACTCTAAGAGAACAATATTCCCTCCCGCCTTCCGCTCCCCCGGGGGCAGGGCTGGGCCTGGGAAAGTCAGACACGGCCACACCTGATTGGATAGAGATGCTTTTCCAGCCCAGGCTGCACCACTCACGTTCATCCTTCTGCTACCAAGCAGGACCTGGCTCGGGACAAACTGTGGCCTGAGCCAGGCAGAGGTAAGGATGAATACAGCAGTTGGAGGGAAAGACTGAGGGTTCCCCCAAGGGGTAGCAGGAACGGCAGAGGGCCCCAGCAGCCTCCTGGTTCTCCAGCCTGGGCCATCCAGCACCTGCTTTTGTGATGATTAAGTCACTTTAGGGAATGGTTCTGTGACTTTCAGGCTTGCAACTCCACCAGCCTGCTCCTGCCCCAGTCCCCCCCGCCCATGCCCCACACCAGCCTCAGGCATACCCCCAGATTCTCAGGGTGCCTTCTTCCTCTGGGGGGCCTCAACACACGCCTCCCCTCTGGAAGTCCACCTGAGCTGCCCAGGCAGAGGCAGGGGGATCCTGGCTGCCGCTAGCTGGATGGGAGGTTCGCTTTCCACCTGAAAAGCTTCAGCAAGGCTTTGCTGTGTACATGGTGATAGGACCACAGTCAGCCTTCAAATGGATGACTCTTTCTCCCGGCTGGGCACAACTTGGTTGGTGCCATTCTTCCTCCATCCTGACCCCCCTCGGGTGTTTTCATAAGGGAGAACAGAAAACAGAGAGATCACGAGACTCACCCAGCATCACACAGCGCTGGGAGCCTGAACCAGCAGACCCCACCCTGTCAGACTCTGAACTTGTAAAAGCTGCTCTCTTGGCTGGCAAAGCCAGAAAATGGAGAAAAAAAGAGTGTCTGTGACATGGGCCAGCTGAGTCTCAGATGCTGCCCAATCTTCTCCTGCAAGGGCTGAGACACACGTCTGAAGATCAGGATGCTGGCTCAGGGGCAGACAGCTGAGGACAGGCTGCCCCTCCCTCTGCCCCCTGCCAGGCTGGACACAGGGGAGGGATGGGCTGAAGGGAGTCTGTCACCCAGGACAGGGCCCCTGGACAGAAAGCAACTACCCCACCCTCTGCCATGACCACCCACCACCAATCCTCATGAGCCCTCCTTGCCCCGTGGAGCCCAGTTCTTATCACCAGTTCTTGAGCACTCACCCCTCCTCGCCCAGGGCTGGCTGGGAGGATGAATGCTCCCTCTCCCTGGCATAGCGCCCAGCCATGCCCAGCCTTGGTTGAGGAGGGTGCTGGGATTCCACGGGGCAGCCTTTGGAAGGCCCCAGGCAAGGACCGACACAGGCAGAGGCTAAGGAAGACATCCCCAGCCAGTGGCGAAGATGGGCTCTGGGCATTGCCAACACCGCAGCAGGTACCAGGTGCCGTGGGGACCAGAGTTCATGCATACCTCGAAGCCCACGCCCAACACCCTCTGGGACTCCTCCTCCCCGGGGACACAGGGCTGTGAGGGACGCATCCTACCTGACAGGTTTCTCGCCTCCTTTCCCATACCCTGCAGTACATTAAGGAATGTTCTGGAGAGTACTTCAACTACCAAATGAATAATAATAATCCATCAAGCCCCAGGGCCTGCAGCCAGGCTGCGTTTTTAAGACTCACACTCTTGGACTTTTGCAGAATGTGGGGCCCCCGGCGACAGCTGCCTCAAGGAGCAAGGCCAGCCAGGATGAGCCCGAAGGAGAGGTCAGCCGCTCCCAGGCCAGCCTCCTGCAAGGAAAACCCTGGCCTGCCCCATGGCTCCCTTCTCCATACTCACATCTGCTACAAGGGCTCTGCGCCAAGGCCTCCACGCCAGCCTTCTAGAAGCTTCCAAAAGGTTCGCATTGGCAGGACTTTGTGGGCCACCGTGGAGGGGCGGAGAGTGCAGACTCTGCCCAAATAGTCAGAGGAACAAAAAGAGCCGAGCTGCTGGGGAGTTCTTGCACCCTCTAAATTTATTTGGGAATTGAAATAGACAGACAACATCATGCACCAGTCACTTTTCGCCTTTTGTACAACAAAACTGCAGTACTCGCTGTCCCACCACAGGACCCCTGCTGGCTTTTTTTTTTTTTCCTTCCTTTCTTTCAGTAACATCAGGCCGACTTTTCGATGTGATCCAGTTCTGCAGAGTCATTGGACTGTCGCGTCATGAATTATTAAATCAGTGCTTCGTGGTAATACATAATTTCTTATCAATTATTCATGCTAATGTGTGTGTAGTTTACTTAATTGTGTTATTGACGATCAAAAGTAATTTCCTGAGAGTCCTCAAGGACACAAAATTTAATCAGCGTAACTACTTTTCAGATGCAATGCCGTTAAGTATTCTTAATTTGCCCAACAGTTCACTTATTTATGTACCTTTCTGGAGGAAATACGAGTTTAATCAAACAATTAGATTGAAGAGTTAGTGTACAGCAAGGCCAGGGCGCGCAGCGTCCAACCCAACAGTCGTAATTACGGGGAAACAGAAGCAACTTTGCCACTTTTTTGGCAACTCGGTCCATCTCGGTACTCAACAAGCAAAAAATACAGCAGGAAGAAGGATCCGGGCTCTTTCTTAAAGGAGACGCTGTGCTGGATCGATGCGTGGCAGTCAGCATGAAGGAGGCACAACACGCTCAGGAGGATTAGCTGGGGGTGGGCGCGGCAGGGGAGGCTGCAGAGGAGGCGGGCGTCTGTTACAAGTAGACCCTTCCAATGGTGACAAACAGAGCCCACCATCACCCAAGCTGCAGACGCCACCAGCCCAAGCCACCCAAGACGGCCACCCACCTGTTGGGGGGACTCATGGGCGCCTCTGCCAGGCGGGAATCCTACTATTGCACATTTCCCCCTTGGAGCTTTGTCAAGGTCACATGGGATCGTCAAGGTCACCGTTCACACAGGGGAAACACCTCACAGAAGCAGAAGCTTGGCCATCTGCCATTAACTACCTTCCCCATGGTCCATCTGCGCAGACACGGCTCCTGGCCCATTTTCTCTCCCTTTCTTTTTCTTCATCTTAGTTTAAAAAAAAAATCAACTCCACCAAGAGCCCCTGTCAATGAGCCAGGGATGGGAGGAGCCAGAGTTCATCCAAATGCATCCTTCTCCCAGGGGACCACTGGAGGGTTTTCTTCCCCTCCGCTCGTCCACAGAGCTGCTTTCCCAGTGATCCACTTCCTGCCCACCCGCAGGTCTGTACCGGAGAGAGGCATGGCCTGCAGGTGGGACCTTGAGCTCCGCACGGGAGCCCACACTCTCCCTGGGCCCACAGCGTTCAGGGGCAGTCCCCAGTTCACAGAGCTGATGGCCCTGTCTGACAGCCCCTGACCAGTGAGCTCTCCGACGGACAGAGCAACCCTGTGCACACCCCTGGGTCAAACCTTCCTCTCCTGTGTCTTCTCACCATGCAGCCCAGCCCACAACCCAAGATGTTCAGCCAGAGAAAGGATCTGGGGGGTGGGGCGGGTAGCAAGCTGGCATTGCACGTTGGGATTCTACCAGTCACTGAGTCAAAATCCAGGGACGGTCCAGCCCCGCCCCGGTCACCATCGCTCCAGGGTCATGGTTCTTGCAATGGACAAGACCTTCCCAAGGTGACCCAGGAGGGGACAGGAAGGGTAGAAGTTGGATCAGCAGTTCTCTTCTCTTGCAGGTGTCTGGATGGAAGCCGCAGGGCCCTCAGCACACTTGTCATTCAGCAAGCCAGAGCAGCTCAGTGCCTGCCCCTGGCTGAACTCCAGCCCCGCGCCCCCGGTCCACGCAAGCGTTTCCTCGAGGGAGGATGGGTCAGCTTTCCACAGGGGCTGAGGCTGGGAGGGGCAGGGGGCGGGTGCGCTGGGGTCACCGTGTTCAGGCACGCTGCACCCTCATAGGCTCTTCTCTCCCTCGCTCTGTTCCTTCCTGGGAAGGCTCTTGTCCTGGGCGCCGTCAGGGGGTGCAGGCTTGGCGGCGGGGCCGGGGCTGCTGCTGCTGTTGCTGCCGCCGCTGCTGCTACTGCTGCTGCTGCTGCTGCTGCTGGCGGGCGGCAGAAGGTTGGCCGACTGCAGGACAGCTTCCGAGTGCTCCCGGGCCTTCATGCGCAGGGCGGCCACACTGGCCGTGCGGTTGCTCTGACAGCCATAGGTGGGGAGGAAGGAGAGCCCCATGGGGTCGGGCACGCAGCAGGAGCACAGCGGGCCCCCTAGAAGAGGGAAAGCAACACATGGGGCGTCACAGTCCGTCACAGTCCACTGTGTCCCTTAGGGCTAGGGGGAGGGGCGGGGAGGGGAAGATGGAGGTCTGAAGCCCAGACAGGTTGTTTGTAGTTGGTTCCAAACATAAAAGGACAAGTATTCGGGATCCCAAAGGCACACACAGCTCCAGGGACCCAGCTGATGGCCCCGAGCGTCCTAACAGCATCACAGAGACCCAGCCAGCCCTGCTCTCCCATCAACCAGCTGTGTGGCCCGAGGCTAGTATCTTGCCTTCTCTGGGCCTTGGAAAAGAGGGTAGAATATAGCACCTGCTTCACAGGATCATTAGAATCCTACAAAATTATCCCAAAAACTGCATGCCAAGGCACCCCGGAAGCCCCAGAGGGGCCCCGTGGGGGAGGTTTTTAGTGTTCACCTGGAAGTCTGACACAACCCTCCCCAAGATCATATCCCCACCTTTTAAGAATAGCCTGCCTGTGCGAAAATGCATTTTGCAAGCACCACTCAAAATGCCCTGAGCAAGAGGAAATGAGAAGGGTGACATTGAGGACGACTCCAAGGCTACCAAAGCTATGCCAAGGCTGCCAGGCACAGAAGCCCATCCATAAGAGAGAGCAGCGTGGGGCTCAGGCCTGTGTGGGCACAGCTGGAGACAGGCTGTGTCCACCGGTTAAGGCTGGCGCTTGCCTGGGAGCCCCAAAGGAGGAGTTGAATGCCCAGTCACTAACTGGCAGGGTGAGGGATGGCTGCCTGCAGCATGCAGAGGAAGCAATGCCCCCTCCCCTGCAGCCACAGCCTGTACCTGCTAGGCCACAGCTGCAGTAGCCCCCTAAGAAAGACTTGACGCTCAAAAGCTAGATATAGAAGTTTAAAAAAAAAAAAAAAAGAAGAAGAAGTTACAGGGCAGTGTTGTGGCATAGCACATTAAGCTGCCACTTGCAACGCTGGAAGTCCACAGTAGAACATGGGTTCTAATACAGGCAACTTTGCTTCCAGTCCAGCTCCCTGCTAATGTGTCTGGCAGGGCTCAAGTGCCTGGGCCCTGCTCGAACTCTCTCTCCTTCTCTTTCTCTGTCACTCTGCCTCTCAAATAAACAAAGTGACTCCTAAGAAAATGAGACTATTTCATGCAATTTATTGAATGTTATATTGAAAACAAAAAACACAATGGTTTGCACCATTGTAAGATTTTTAAAAATTAAGTTGGGATCAGCACCCTGACACAGTAGGCTAAGTCTCTGCCTGCAACACTGGCATTCCATGTGCCAGTTTGTGTCCTGGTTGCTCCACTCATCATCCAGCTCCCTGCCTGTGGCCTGGGATAGCAATGGAAGATGGCCCAAAGCCTTGGGACCCTCATTCACTTGGGAGACCCAGAAGAAGTCTGGCTTCGGATTGACTCAACTCCAACCATTGGGGCCATGTAGGGAGTGAACCAGTGGACAGAAAATTTCTCTCTGTCTGTCTCCTTTTCTCTGTGACTCTGTCTTTCAAACAAAAATAGAATAAAGCTTGTTTTTAAAAAAAATCATTAGATTTTTTTTTTTTTAGATTTTTTTTAGATACGCCAGCACTGTGGCGTATCATATTAAGCCTCCATCTGCAATGACGCATCCATATTGGCACTTGTTTGAGTCCCAGCTACTCCACTTCCAATTCAGCTCCCTGCTTATGGCCTAAGAAAGCAGTGGAAGATAATCTAAATCTTTGGGCCCCTGTACCCACATGGGAGACCTGGAAGAAGCTCCTGACTGGCTCCTGGCTTTGCCTTGGCCCAGGTCCTGCCCCTGTGGCCATTTGGGGAATGAACTAGCAGATGGAAATTCTGTCTATGTGTAAGCCTGCCTTTCAAATAAATAAACAAATAAGCCTTCCTTAAAAATTAAAGATTAGGTTCAGAAACAGTCCACGCGATCCCATTTTAGCATTTGTACAGATGCTGTGTTGGCACCTAGCCTCCAAACTGCACCCCACACGTGACGTGGAGATGTTCACCTGCAAGGGGATGGCCTCGACAGGTGAAACCTTTGGGGTGATTAGGCCATGAGGGTTTAGCCCTTGTCAAAGAGTCCCTGGGAGGTGCTTGGTCTGCTTGCTGGTTTGGGAACACAGCAAGAAGACGCAATCTGGAAGCCAGGAAGGATCCCTCTCTGCCTGCAGCACCAAGAGAAATAAATTCCCATTGCGCTCGGTGATGGCGGCCTGAGCAGAATGAGATGAGACACCCCGTTATACAGGCAACAGGTGCACACAGTGCCCAGAGGGAAGTGGTTCCTCCAGTGAGAAAGCCCCAAGGATGCTCACACGGGTAATGTTTGCAATAACCTAAGCATATCCTCCCCTAGACTTAAAGATGGATTGATTGACTGGAAAGGTAGAGAAACAGAGAGAGAGAAAGATAAAGACCTCCCATCCATCGACTCACTCCCAAAATGGCTGTTACAACCTGGGCTGGGCCAGGTCAAAGCCAGGAGCCAGTAACTCCAACCAGGTCACCCACAGGAGTGATGGAACCCATGTTCTCGAACCACTACCTGCTACATCCCAAGTGCATCCGCAGGAAGATGGAATGGAAGAAGAGATGGGACTTGATTCCAAGCACTTCTGATGCAGGATGTAAATGCCCCAGAGCAGTGAATTGAACCCTTTGTGCTATAGCACTTGCCCCAAACTCATCCTTATTTCATTTTCCACAAACTTTTTGGAATTCCTTTGCATACATTTATGGATTTGTTGGTAACTATAAAATACTCATAAATTTAAATTTCAGTGAAAATCATTTACTTATAAATAAGTGATAGAATCTATGTTCACTGGAGAGAGATATAATTAATAAACAGGATAGAAAAATGTCCCAATACCAAAATACCTATTGTTAAAGTTAGAAATGCTTTTTAAAAATTATATTGTATTGTATTGCCTGGTTTTTTGTTTGTTTGTTTGTTTGTTTTGTTTTTCCCTGAATGGACTGGGTTTTACATTCCTGTTAAAACCCTGTTAACCCCTCATGGCATATTAGGTTAAGCTTCTGCCTGAAGCACCAGCATCCCTTATGAGTGCTGGTTCGATTCCCGGCTACTCTGCTTCCCATCCAGCTGTCTGCTTATGGTCTGAGAAAGCAGTAGAGGACGGCCCATATGCTTGGACACCTGCACACACATGCAGACCCAGAAGAAGTTCTTGGCTCCAGGCTTCTGATTGGCTCAGCTCTGGTCATTATGGCCATTGCCGGGGGGCGGGGGGGAGATGAACCAACAAACGGAAGATTCATTGTCTCTCTCTCTCTCTAACTCATCTTTCAAATAAAAATAATTTTTATAAAATATCCCTCTTGTGGCTGATGATTTGTTGTCACCTCTCATTCAGGCAATGGGGCAGTGGTGCCCCGTTAGAACAGAGTCCCACTGAGGGGTCAAGGCTCTGCCATCCACTCCAAGGGGGTCGCAAACAGCAAACAATGGAGAAGGGCATGCATTGGGAAATACCCACCACCACCACCACCACCGAGGCACTGCGGTCCACCTTCTGCCCCGCCTGGGCTTGGAAGTCCCCAAGTCCCTTGCCCCCGGCGGCTCTGACACACACTTTAGCCTCAGACCCCCGGAGAGACCCTGTTGCCCCCAACGTGTGCCATGACCAACATCAAAGAAAGAGCCACTTGCTCCTTAAACACCGCGGGAGACTTGCTTGGTTTGGAAAACTCACTGCCTCCTGGACGCTAAATTAAAACACACAATTAGATTTCCATTAAGGTCCAGCAAATCCTGCCGAATTGATCCACTCGGCCTCCGTCCCGATATGACATCATGCTGTAAAGGCTTGGCCCGAACATAAATACTTAATGTAATAAATACAGTCTGAAATAGTTGATCGCCCAGGCCGTTTAATTGATCTACTACAGAAGCGGACAGGAAAGACGAAGCTCGCCCCGTGCAGTCTGTGCCAGCAGCACATTTTCCTTGCAAAGTTATATACCAATGCCGAGGCTGAGGGCAGGCGGGGCCCTCCCACGCTGTGGCCCTGTTGAAAGATTCAAAAACGTTGAACAAGGAGATGAAAACCTGGATCTCCAAACGCTGGCCCACATGCCAGAGTTCATTTCTTGGCATTCCAGAATTGAGTCAGTGAAATTAAATAAATACCCAAGGACAATTGCAGAAAATATTTATCATGAGGGAAAAAAGTATTTCTATATATATAAATATATATATATATTGCTCCAAAATTCTTGCATTTCAATTCCGTTTTCCCAGGAGATTTTTAAAGTAGCTTGGAATTATGTGAATCTTCCTGCCGGTTCCCTACTGTTGACCAGGAGGCTTTGGGTGGCATCGCTGTGCACGCTGGACTAGCTAACGTATTTTTAATTGCAGAGGTTGGGTAGTCGCGGATCATCACATGTACGTGGGTACATGCACAGCTGTTGCATCGCCCGCTGCCAGCACAGAGCTGCTGGCTATTTTGCTCCTCTCTGATGAGGTTTTGTGATCTTTCCGTCATGACTTGGGTTTGGTTTAGCACCTACTGCATTCCCCAAATTTGCAGTTAACATAGTTCCTGTACCACCAACTCCATGCCTCTGACCCCAGAGAAGAGACAAAGGAAAAAGGATTCAGTTTGCCTCCTGGAGACAGTTCACTTCCTCAAAAGTGCCATCTCCCAGTGTGGCAGTGTGCCACTGCCTGTGACCCTGACATCCCTAGGTAAGAGCATCAATACGAGTCCTGGCTGTTCAGCTTCTCACTCAGCTCCCTGCTGATGCACCTGGGACAGCAGTGGAAAAAAGGGCCCAAGTGCTTAGGCCCCTGCACCCACATGGGAGACCAGGATGGAGTTCCAGGCTCCTGGCTTCAGTTTAGACCAGCCCCAACCACTGTAGCTATTTGGGACTAAACTAGTAAATGAAAGATTCTCTCTCTCTTCTCTCCTCCAATCCCTTCAAATAAATAGATATTGCAAAAATTAAAGCACCATCTTCCAAGCTCAG